GACTAGGACCTCCTTACCACTTGGAAGAAGGTAGGATGAGCGAGTTCTTATCTGTTTTCTAAGACGAAGTACCAAAAAGAAAAAAAACACCATTGACTCTTCTTCATCTCTTTCTCTTTCTTCATACTCTTCAAAAAGCAAAAAGAAAAAAAAAAAATTCGTTCGAGATGACAAAAACAAAAGGAATCCCGAGCGTTGGAAAAAAGGTCTCCGAGTTGAACAACTGAAAGGGACTCTAACAGTGATTAAAAAAGATAAAAAAAAGAAGGAAAAAAAACAAAAATGGATCCGTCGGGCTGAAAATTCGAAAAGAACCCCTAGCATTGGAAGAAATGCCATTAGGCTGAACACCCGAAGGGACCTCGGGCCGATAGAAAAAATAACTTCTCGATCTTTTCCATCCCTTTTTCAACATCTCTAGAAATTATTCTCTTCTCAAATTAGAATGGTGTTAGAAAGCAATATAATGTAAAGGCATCAATCCAAGTAAATATGAAAAACCTCGACTATCTGAACTTCAAAGGGCAAGGGAAGTGGAGGAACAAAATTGGAAGTCTAAGGGGATTTTGAACACTCAAGGGCAATATTCGACATTATCCAAGACCCCGGTTTGCAAAGAAAATCAAGAAAAACTCTCCCTTGAGGTGTGTCACAAAGAGTCATGATTGAAAGATGAAAAGTACTCGATGATTCGTCGTTTTGAAGATCCTATGCAAAGGCTCGTCAAGTCCATACTCGAAAAAAAATTATATTGATCCCAAGTCTGTTTAGGGTTCCCCCCCAAAAAAAAAGAAATAAAAAGCCTAGAAAAATGAAGAAAAATAATATGGTTTGTGGGTTTTGCACCCATTGCAAAAAAAAGGAAGAAAAAAAAATGCAAAAAGAAGAAAATACTCAAAAAAAAAAAGAAAAAAGAAAAAAACAAGGGCAGGAGAAAACTGTCCCAGGATTAAGAAAAGAAAATGAAAGTCAAAAGATCTGATACTTAGAAGAGAATGAAGTCAGTTTCAAAAGAGTGAGACATGAGGACATTCAACCCATACGACGTAAAGCAGTCGAGAAAATCACAGTCAAAACATCAAACTCGTGTGATGTAAAAGAACCGATACAGGAAGAAGTCTAATCTCGATGACGACAAAAAGACTGGGTTCCCAATCCAATATGAACATCAAACTTGTGCTATGCAAAAGAGTCAGGGCAAGTACAAGAACGTCCATCATTGCATGATGTAAAACTTCTTAGAGAGCTCCATTGTAGAATGAACCTAAACTTCTTACCAAACCTAGTTTCCGAATTTCTCATCTATCTTCAAAATTTTCCCTATGTGTTTCGTGAAATTTTCAAAAACCTTAATTTCTTTGGTTAAAATTATAGCTCGAAACTTTGTTTCTGTTTCAAAATTCAATATATTTTCAAAACCTTTTAAAATGTTGTAAAATCCGACTGAGTTTCATGGAGGCTTGGACATGATGTTTCTGCCGCCATCAAATCCTAGAGTGTCATACTTGCAAACCCTTGGGAAAAAAAGAAAAAGACCAACACATAGGTTCCAAACTGAAAGGCGAACCTATGGACCTCAAGAATCAGAATTGAAGGTGAACAAGAAGTTCAATTAGCCAAGAGTTCATCATCCCATTATTTTTTCTAAATCAAACTTCCATTCGATTTGAAAATCTGACCCCAAGAAAAATGTCTAAAGTTGAAGATTGGAGTGACTACAATAAGGAATTTCACTGGCTCAAAGATAGCACGGTTCTTACTGATTGTCATTTTGGATCCTGATTGCCAGAGACTTCTCAACTACACTGACTCAAAGATAGTAGTGTCAGTTCAATGTCTTATGGATAGAAAATATTCATCAACATATCGCCTGCCCAAAGGGTATTGGTGATTCAAAAGAATGATCCTTTGGGAAAAAAATCATTTCAACTGTGTCTCAGGTGTCTACTTCTTTGCTATTCATTTGATGCCTCAAGTGAATGCCAAAGAGGGGCAATTGTAGACACCCCCCAAAATTATGGCTCAGGGAATTCCTAAAAACCTTGACTCTGAGTTCAAATGACCACATAAACACTAATAAACCATAGTTGACCTAAACCCAATAGAATTATCTCAAAATCGTATCTCAATACCCTCACATAATGACCTTAGACAGTCAACCCAGAAAACTGACTCGAATACTGATTGGACACCCAAAAACTTGAAACCGAGACCGTAAAGTCCTAGCCTTGCATATTTCTCAAAAATATCTTAAATTTAACCAAATTTGGTTTCGAGTTATAGAGAATGTCACAATCCTTCCAAAGGTACAAGAATCACCTGAATCAGACTTCGGTTAGAAAGTTAAAGCCTGAGGGGCAATTGTTCAAAAAATTACAATTTGGTCCCTATGTAACCCTACAAATATCAGGCCACGGTGCGGGCAGGCACGACCCAATGATGCAGTAAAACACGTTTTAAATAGGATAAATCCAAAAAATTCGGATAAATCTAAAAAATCCAAAAGAAATAAGAAATATCCCCACTTGAAGCCTACCCAAAAAAGATAAATAAGAAAAAGATTAGAAATCCTTAAAAAATATGACACAATTCTTGAAATTAGGAAAAAAAAAAAATGCAAAATTAGGAAAAATCCTTAGGAAATTCTAAAAAAATTAGGAAAATCCTAAAAAATCTCAGAACCCAGATTCCACCTTAAGAGATCTCAAAACCTTAGAAAACTAATAAATTCTCCTCCAATCCAAAAATAAATTCCCAAAAAATCCTAAAACCCAAATTCTACCTTAGGAGATCCCAAAATTAGAAAACTGAAGAAATTCACATCCAATCCCAAAAAAAAGCCTAGTATACCCTATCTAAAATCCCTCTGTCTTAAGAACCCTATATTTAGGTAAATGAACCTTAGATCTACTAATTCCAATAAGCAAAGACATAAAGAATAAAAGGCGATGGTGGCGCAAATAAGAAGAGGGATCTAATTCCAGCAAGCAAAGACATAAAAAAAGAAGAAAAAAGAGATGGTATTGCAAATCTCTTAGAAAAACAATCATGTGTTTTTGATGGACATTTTGCAACTAAGACAAAAAATTAAGAGTAAAAAGTTCAATAGTCCATCTAATAAATATTGGAATAATTTTATTTGTTCTTTCTTTTTCACAGCCTATGTTGTTTGCCCTATAAGAATTAGAGATATTTTAATTCTAAGTTTCAAAATAACAAAGTATATAACTTCATGATTTTCCAAAAACATTGACGATAATAGAATATTTGGTATGTAAGATACCTATATATAAGGATACAATAGAAAGAAGAAAAAAAAAAGAAAAAAAGCTTTCATCATGGTTAAAAAATAACATTGAAATTTGAAATGAATATGAAGAACACATATTTATGAAGTTGAATATAAAAAAATAATAATACAAAAACTGTAATTGAATTTTTATGGATTCACTTATTCCGGTCAATCCAAATAGCGGGCATGCATATCGATCAGGTACTATCCAAACTGGAGACAAACTCTATCTCCTGGACACCAATTCCGAAGAAATCGATTCCAATGTAAACCTATCACCAGAATTCTCTCGATATCGAAACGGCGCCTTAGCTACGACGTTAATCAAACCAATATTCAATAACGAAGGGGACCCAATTCTCTGATCTCCTCCCTTAACTGTAAGGGCAGTACACAGTCATTTATGGGAATAAATCCATTGTAATGATAAGGATCAAGCGAGCATTAAATAGGACAAGACGATCGCATCATACGGTGGCGGCTTCCGATCTCTTATTTTCCTCATCCTCTTGGAAAGCGGCTTTCCATTTCTGAATAAAATAAACTGACGCTTTCTGCAAAACCCCCACAGTCGCCAAACATTCTATTCCCCACGATTTAGAGAGAGAAAAAGATAGAATTTCAAGTTATTCTTCTTTAAGGAAGAGAGAGAGGGGGAGAAAAATTTAGAACGTGATATTGTGAGAGACTGAGGGCTTTTTAGCAGGGGCAGTAGCTAGAGAGAGAGAGAGAGAGGAGAGAGAAGTGTGGCAGTGTTATGCGAGGAGAGAAGTAAACTTCAGCTATTGACATTGTGGAGAGAGAGAGAGAGAGAGGTAGGTGTTTTTTTGTGCGATCAATGAAAGGATAGAGAGAGAGCATGCATTTTGGAGTTGCTTGAGAAGAGAGAGAGCATGCGATTTGGAGTGGTTGAAAAGAGAGGGAAGCGCACCCGATTTGGAGGGGTTTGAAGAGACAGAAGGGGTTTAGAAGAGGTTTGGGGAGAAACCCAAATGATTAGCGACCGTATGAATCGTGTAACACAAGGGAAATGCCACGCGCGCCGGACGCCATCTTTTTCCTAGAGAGAGAGAGAGAGAGAGAGAGCGTATTTTGGACGTAATTTTTATTCCATATCTAACGAAAAACATTTCAAGCTTCGCTGAAATTATCCTCGGAATTGTGTTATTTATTAACACAAAATAAAGAGTTGCGTCAATTCCTAGTGTATAACTCAATTTCTCTCTCTCTCTCTAACAAAGTCTCAGGCTCTAGAAGGCACCTCTCTGGTTTCCCTTGTACGGTAACACAATCTCTCTCTCTATAATACAAACTTTCTCTCTCTAGAAGGCACCTCTCTGGTTTCCCTTGTACAGTAACACAATCTCTTTATCTCTCTACAGTACAAACTCTCTCTCTCTAGAAGGCACCTCTCTGGTTTCCCTTGTAGAGTAAAACACATTCTCTCTCTAAAATGCTCCTCTCTGGTTTCCCTTGTAGAGTAACGTAGTCTCTCTCTGGTTTTCCCGCAAGTCTAACTCTCTCTCTTATCCCTCAGAGCCATCTTAGAAGCATGCTGAACCCCTATGCTCCGGAATTCGTTTCTTCTTGTGCATATCACTCTCTCTCTCCACACCCTCCTCCACACACTCTCTCTCTACAGCCTCCTCCACACTTTCTCTCACTAAACCCGCATCCATACTCTCTCTCTCTACAACCCCCTCCTCCCATGCTTCCCTTCTATGATTATCACCCCTCTCTCACCCTGCAACCCCACCCACAACAAGACTGCAATCAATTCTCTCTACCCGAAAACCCCACCACCTTCTACTCTCCTTTTCCTCGTCATGCTCTTCCACATTGTTACTACGACGATTTTCTCTCTCGACAAAGTCAGCCATCTGTTTATTCTGATTTCGTCTCTCATATACCTGCAACTCCTCTCTCCTTTCCTTTTCATGAGCGAAGCCCGCTCGTGGTGGATGCTCCACCGAGAAAAGCTCGGGTTTCAGGGAGCTCGAAGCCCAGAAATGTTGGTCTAGTGAGAGAAAGTCGTAGAGAGAGAAATGGGTTATGGAGGCCCAAGGAGAAGAGCGCTGAAAATGGATCTGACCCGATTCTTATTGTGGAAGAGCTTTCGGATGCTCAGAGTACTACTGTTATGATAAAGAATATACCCAACAAACTCAGGTTTCTGATTCATTTTACTTCTGTTTTTTTTTCTTTTTTGAATAATTTCTTAATTTTTTTCTTTTGAATAACTTCTTAATTTAACTACTGTTTTTCATTTAAATCACTCTATTCATTTCCTATAAAAAGTTTAGTTTTTATGATTGTAAAAATTATGATAATTATTTATCCATTCTCTCTTATTTTTGCATGAGCATCATAAAATTCAGGTTTTATCTTTCAATGTCGGGTTTTGCTTTTATTTCCTCTCTCTAAAGTTTTGTTACTTAAAAACTAAAAATTTGGTTCTCTTGCAGTCGAAAAATGTTGGTGGATCTGCTTGAAAATCTTTGTAAGGAAGAGAATGAGAAGGGTGGGATTTTATCAGAATTCGATTTCGTGTACTTGCCCATGGATTTTCGGTGAGTGTATATCTTCATCATGTTTTTGCTTCGTAGATTTTTTCAATGATGATGTTCACCTCTTCATTTTGTGTACATTTCCGATGTTAATGAGAAGAAACAACCCCCCTCTCTCTCTAGATTTGGTCGATAATGAGTAATATGTTTATGGTCTCTAGGGGAGTTAATGACGATAGTGAGTTGCTTTTTTATTTCTCTCTCTCTTTAGATTTGGTCGATAATGAGTAATCTTTTTAGGAAAAAGTTTATATAGAGCTGAGGCTCTAAGCAATCAAAGTAGAGAGCCCACCTCAAACATTTCACTAGAAGAGGTTGTTTGGATGCCTAAATATCCTCAAATTGATGATCTCGACATCAAGATGCATGGACACCAGAGAAAAATGGATTTCAAGTTTTTGGATGTTTGAGACCGTCAATTTACAAGATTTTCAAGTTTTTATAGATCTTATCTGCTCGATCTACGGCTTTAAATTTTATAATTAAAGATAAAAATATATTTTATACCTATCACAAAGATTTGAAACCACATTTCTGAACGCTATTTGAAGCTATCTTTACTTTGATTAATTAGAGCCTCCGCACCACTATACAAACCGCACCCATCTTTTAATAGTCTCTAGGGGAGTTAATGAAGATAGTGAGTTGTTTTTTATCTCTCTCTCTCTCTCTCTCTCTAGATTTGGTCCATAATGAGTAATCTTTTTATAGTCTCTTAAAGGAGTTAATGACGATAGTTTGCTTTTTAACTTCTCTCTCTCTCTCTCTCTCAGTTAATGACGATCGTGAGTTCCTCCTTAACTCTCTCTCTGTCTCTCTCTTAACAACCTTAGGAAACCCAGAGAAACTCAACCCGTCATGTTTTTAAAATGGGAAACGGTGTTTGGTTGCAAGTGATGAAATAACAAATCTCCTCGAGCGGAAGCAACAGGAAAGAAAATAAAGTCTCTCAAAATTATTATGTTGAGTCTTAATGTTCCATTTTATGGTTTACTGTGGTCTCCATTGTTTTGCTGTCCAAGATACCAAAATTTCGGATTTGGTTCGATGCATACTTTTGTTGAGTGTATAAGATATTGATGCAGTGTTGGGTAGACACTCCTACTAAGAGCCAAGGTGGATGCCTAGTAAGTGAGGTTTTTACCTTGGACATGGGTATTGCATAATGCATGTGCATGAGTTTATTTTGCTTTGGAAATCTGTGTATGTAAAATAGTAGTATTGCATTTATTTTGCATTGGAATATATGTTGCATGGGTAAGTTTTCCATGTAGTTAATTGTTTTGCACAGTTATTGTTTCAAGAGTTCCAAAATTAAGTTTTGGAAGAATTTATAGGGAATTGAGTTTATAAAAAGGGCTATACAATGGCTGTAAAGAAGGATGATGAATTTTGAATGAAAAAGAAAAAAAATTCAAGCATTTTCTTGCTGCCTTTTGGAGTTGAGAGAGTCGTACATTGGAGTTGAGTGATTCCTCCTTCCCAACATGAATGACTTCGCCCTACCATGTAAGTTGAGTGATTCCTGGCCATATCTCCCGTCAAGTTTGTATCATAGCAGGTTCGTTTTGAGCACCCTAGACATTGCAGTTGTGTGCAATGGTAGTTACTATCAATCTTTGACATCTATCCTGATCAAGATTTGAGCTTGGTAGAAGAATCAATTTATGATGAAGTTGGTGGTCCTACCTTTTATGAAAAGAAAGAAGAGAGTCCTATCTTCATTGAAGGATAGTGTATTGAGCAGGAAGATGATGATGGAGATGGAGATTATAACGGTGAAGATGGTGGTGATTATACTAGGCTATTGCTTTGTTTTTAGTAGAGAGCCCCAAGAACACCTCACCAAGTTCTAATGGAAAGAGGTCATGGTTGTAATGCACGTTTCCTCTTTACCCATTATAAAGTTTGTAAGCAAGTTATCTCAGGTATGGACATGGACAATAATGTCATGCCTCATCATCAGAGCCTTTTCCCAATATTATGCATATATGCACATATACAAATGTAACAATTTTCCATGTGGACAAAACATTATGGATAAATTTTTTGTAAGAGATGCAGTAATTTGGACATGAATTGGGTCTTGTCATAATTGTGGAAAAGTGCATATTCCTCGATGACGACTTACATGCAAATCTAGCACAATTGTTGATGGTAGTTAAGTATTGCTCATATGTTGGCGTGCAAATTGGTATGCTTATAGCATTTCTATCATACATGGCCTTGAACATCAGAGATTAGAACCAGCGGCAATCTATGGTCAATATGGGTTATCTCTTGAATGGTATGGTGCACTAGAATGGGCTTTTCCCTATTTGGACAAAGAAGCATGCTCTTGATAGAGGCGAAGTAGTAAATTGTGTACTGAGGCAGATTGAAGTCTCTTATTGGGAAAGTTATTTTTCCTTAATGAATTTCCCATGTTATATTTGCCAAGATTGGTATGAAGTAGTTTCATGGAAGTGACGAATATTTTGCTGAGAGGTTGTTATGTGTTTGGTCTTTTATTTGTTCCAAAACAGGTGATTGTGTTTTTTGTTGAAGACAATTGCTTGGAACTGTGCATTCACAAACTCATGGTGTATAATGCCAATAAAATCAGAGGATTGGTATCAACTTCATCTTAATCCACTTGATAACATAGGACGATTTTTCATCAACAAGGTGAGTATGATGCATGCGTAAGAGATAAAGAGTTCCAAAGGTAGGTTTTGGTCTTCTAAAGGAAGGTTTGGGTCTTCCAAAGGTAGTTTTGCATGTTAGTTTTGTATGTTAGTTCCAAAACCTCCCCTTGGAACTCTTGAAACATCAATAACCATGTCCAAGGTAACAACCATACTGGCTAGGAGTCCACCTTGGCACTTTCTAGGAGCGTTGGCCCAATGCTGCATCATTCCCCCCTCTTGAAAATAACTCAAACTCGAGTTCATTGTGAGGCCTTTCCAAAGTTGCTTCAACTCTTCTTTAAGGGGGCAGTCTACTTGCGCTTGCATCAGATAATCATGTTGGAACTAACACCCAATTTGAAGAAACTATAAAACATGCTCGAGATCATTCATCTTGAATGGAAGGATACTGATTTTTGGGGAAGAGCATTTAGCAATAATAAGGCAAATGTTCAGAATAACTGAAATATCACAAAAGATTTAAAATGAGACTTCTAGGGTTTCTTCTTTTGATAATATGTATTGTAAGCCATGGAAAAAAGTATGATGGGCATCCATCTATGATGGAGATGAACAGTGTAGATCAGTGTTTGCCAACTTGTGCAAGTTGCCTCATACGGGCCCGTGTCACCTGGGCTTGTCAAGTTGTTGAGCCCTGAATTCCCCTCGAACTCGGGTGGTATATATAATGTATTTATACTTAATGATTTTTGATAGACTAAATCAATTGTAATTGATCAATAATTAATTTTGTATATATTTTTTATGTTTTATTATTAATTCATTTATAACCTTATTTTTATGATTTTTATCTTTTCTTTTCTTTTTTCTCCATTCTTATTGAATTTTCAGATTATTCCAAATTATTTCGGTTCCTTCAGGCTCTTTAAGGGGTTGTTTGAGGACTCTGGTGAGTTGTCTTGGATTGCCAAGTCACTTGGACTGCCCATGGCCCTAATTCTGCTGTTGAGTTGCATTTTTGAACACTGATGTAGACATAATAGTATACAATTTTTGACGTTATCATAGGAATGATTATCTCATCAAAGCTGTGAGGTTGCATGCCTTTGATGACAAGACATAGTTTATGCCAACCAAGAGAGTTATATACCTTAAATTACCATAGAAAACTGGTTTTTAGCCTTGCTATTCTTTATCATCAGGAAGTGGTAGACTATTTCGGGTGTGAACATGCTCAACGTAAATGAGCTCTTCTTGCATGGATTCTTGCTAAAATGGGTTATGAAAAGCTTATAATTTCCTCAAGTGAATCCAAGTGTGCCTGGACCCTTTTTCTGATTTTTATATGAGAATGATATTTGACTGAAAATTGAAAATAAAGTTTTTTTGCAGAAAGCTTTTAAGAGGAGTTGAGTAAAAAGTCAAGCATATTAACATATTTTCATATTTGTATAACACCAAGGTGGTGACTAGACTCTGGCTTGGAAATCAATAATACAAGTGAGTAGTTGCTATGTTGGGTTTGAAAGCTAACAATTAAGGATTTTAAAGAACATATCAATAAACCAAAACTAACTACTAGATAAAGAAGAGCAAAGAATGTACCTATGTTGGGCCAATGGTCTGACATTCGAAGTGAAAGGAGACCAGATCAGAGGCTCAATAGTCAATCACTGACTTCAAATCTAAGGAACCTTCTTCAGGTTTTAGTGAGCTTTGATCTCGATTGCTTGATGATGTTCTAAGTTGTTAAGATGCGAGATGTTTCCTGCTTTCAGTTCAAGTTGTGACCGCTCTCGCTCGCCACTCTCCCCTTATAAATCCACATTGCCAGGTGGGTGGACACTCGATTCCACACTAATATGAATCATGATTCCAAATATGTCAGAAACTTGACTCCCAAGAGGTAGGAATCTCGACCCTATATATGAAGGAATCTTGATTCTATATGGGTTGATTCGAAATAGATCAGAAACTCGATTCCAAAGAGGTCTGAATCTCGATTCTATATATGTAGGGATCTTGATTCCATTTTGGTCGGATCTTGATTCCTATAAAGTAAGGATCTCATTTCTTGTACGGATGTCGATTAAGAAAACAAGAATCATCTAGCCATCCACGATTCTACGATCCCGATTCCTAAAATGATTTGGAATCTCAGAGGTTTCGAACAACTACATATGGAACAAAAATGTATGCTCAAATTCTTGGTTTTTTGATGGCACTTTCCGTTAGCCATATTAGACAATGGATTTAGTTGGGTTCGAAAGTGCTTGTTGGTTCTATCATAGAATTTGAGGTCCACTTGGGACCTACCATAGTTGTTGTGCCTCTACCTATGACATTCACCATGTGATCTCATGGGTTGCTTCT